AAACATAAATTTGAGTAAATACACTGTTCTAAACTGTTCTAAGCATAAAGAACAGCCATCTTTTCCAAATGACAGTAGTTATGGCGTGACCGCAGCATTAGCTCGATGTTTTGGTTAAGGAGGAACTGTAAAAGGTGGCTGCTGTTTTGGTTGTGTTGCTCGGTGACTGACGTCTGTCCAGCACTGTCCAGGACTCTGTACAGCATTAAACAAGCTGATGACGTGTGATGTCTGCGCCATTCTCTCGCATCCCTCGGCCTCGCCCTGCTCGCAACACAAAGCACAAATTGTGTTTTCCTCACATATCTAACCATGTAAGTTCATATTTAGTCAAATATAAATGACACATACAGTCATCTGATATTTTATGTGAGATTGGAACACAATTCAAAACACTACTTGTGGACCTTTTTATTTTTGATTTTTTTAATTCTTCATAGTGAAAAACATCAGAATGCAGGTTCAGCAGAACATCCGAGATGCTCTTTTCCATTTTTTTTGTTCTTTCACCACATTTAGACAGTAATCAGTAGTTCGTATTAATTGTGATCTGTATTCCAAGTCTTCTGAATACATGTTGTTACTCGATAACCTTCAAAATCACTTATTCAAATAATGATACTATTGATTGTAAACTGGGTAAAGGATTCCTATAACTGTAAAACTAAAATCAGTTTGCTCTTTAGCTCAGTTTTGAAGTTGGGTTTAGTGACTCTCAAAGGTTTTGATGTTGTGGTGGCATGTCCTTCATACTCATGATCAGTGGTGGGTTTATTACTGTAGTGACTTCTTTACCCAGAGACTGACATCTTTTGATAAGACATGTTTTTCCATCTTAGTCCTGACAGCTCAAAACATAAGCTGAGACACATACCTCATATCATCTTCTGGAAATAGGGTCATTTCTCTCTCTCATACAGTATGCTTGCTTTCTCTATTTCTGTTCCTCCCTTTCTCTCTTGACATTTACCTCAAATGACACTCTTCTCTCCAATCCTTTATTGGTCTGACAGAGGAGACCTGCCTCCCTCCCTTTCTCTCATCTGCAACTTGAAGGTCTGACATTTCTCATAGCACACAGACGGAGGAAAACATCACATCTCATTTCTCGGTTGTGACTCACTGGCGTAGACAGTACTCTTCTGTGACCTTTGACCATGGTGGACTCAAGTGCACTGACTGACAGAGACATGTCAGGATTCCGTGTGCATCTTTTGTCATCTGTGAATTACATTATGTTTTTTATTTATTTTATTTTTTTTGGTGAAAAAATAAAAGGAAAAAAAATTTAACAATGCATATAGCCAAGCTTGTGAATTTACTTACCCATCTTTTTTTCAAAGGTGTTCGTACTCCTTTGATAATCTGTGGGATGTTTCAAAATTGTTTTTTAAATAAGAGAGACAAAAAAAAAATATTTTTTTTACAAGAATGATCCTGTTCAAAAGGAATCATAAACAACAATATCAAATAATATCAAAGCTACAGTCATTGTTGCTTGAGTTAGTACACAAATGGGAACATTTTTGAATCAAGTTGTTTTGTCTTGTGGGGTTGAGTGGATGGGCCCTTCTCAAATTCACTGCTCTCTAACTACTGGGTGGATTCTGGCTGGTGGAAGAGGATAGGGCGATGGGTCATTTGTCCCCTCAAGTGATGTATAATCTCTATTGCTCATCCATGAAATGTGACCTTCTTGGAGATCACATCCAATGGGAATATGTCTTACCACTCTTCGTTTTTCAGTCATTTTCAATCTTATGTTCTTCTTCCTTTATAGTAACTCTCTATTGTGTGTACAGACTTCCATCCATCCATCCATCCATAAAACCCACCCAATCCATGGCAAAAAAAGAGGAATAGCCGAAATAGTTTATATAATAAATAAAATAAAATGTCAAAAGTACATCAATACAAATATTTTAATAAAAAAATACTTTTCTTACCCAATATTTGTGTATTTCTATGGCATATTATCTGCATTAGCTTAGCAAAATGCTTAAATTCTACTAATTTTGTAAATTTTAGTTTTAATCTCACTTTTTTAAGGAGTGTTACTTGTATGACAGAAAGGGCTGCTCCCATAGAGTATTCCAAATCAGTCAACGAGGTTCCATTTCAGTCAGGATGCTATAACAGACTGCAAAGCAACTCACTATTTCGTAGAAAAAAAAAAAAAATTCTACATGATTTTATTTAAATTTTTGGAGAATAACACTTTCCACTCCTTATTTTATTTAGCTTTAAGTCTGACACATTTCATGTTTCCGTCAAATCATCTCTGTCGCGTGTTTCTCTAGTCACAAAGTGAATATATCAAAATAAAAAGCTGCATTAAATATTCATCCAGTACATTCCTCGGCCCACTCGTTCATCTTTTTTTTGCCTTCATATCTCTATCTGTCATCCACCCTTCCATCTGTCTTTCCCCCATACCGCTTCTTTTCCATTCCTTCTGCTCAAGGGTGCTGGGTTGCGCATCTGCTGCGAATGATAGCAAAGAGAAAGACGCATCCTTTCAAATAAGTCCCTCACCAAATAATTATTTATTATATTTTTTATTTAGTGATGTGGTCATAGTGATAGAAATGCTTCCACACAAACAACCATGACTCTGACAAGTTCTTTTAGGGCCTATGTGTACGGTCCATGAAAATGAGTTAAATTTCTCAGTAAATGTGGATTAGAGTCTTGTGAATTAATGTGATTTGGGTTTTATGATGCTTGGAATCATTTAAAACTCCTCCAGATAGAACATTGTTTCAATATCCATCTATGGCTATAATATCCCATTTTCCTGCACATGAATCCCAGCACACCGCACATGCAAGAAGAAGAGGGTTAAATCTCTGACCTGGATTCACATGACAGGCTTTATTTTGGTCTTTATTTCTTTTGCTCTCGCAGTGTTTTTTTTTTTTTTTCTTTTTCGTTCTAAAGTAGAGTTTATGTGTGGGTTTGTTTGGAGGTGTTTGGCAGGAAGACAAAGATATATGCATACATTCATGTTCAGTCATACCCACATACACTCCGACACGCACTGAACCAGATTCACTGATCAAAATGGAGATGGAAATGCAATGTAATCAGACTGATGTGCTTTACACAACCTCACATTCACACTTCACATGACATTTGCAGACTTTGCATGTTATTAATTTCCTGGCCCTATGCATGAAGGTGTTAACCCAGAGCAGAAGGGAGAGGAAGCTTGTCCGAGGTAATTTGTCGCCAGTTAAACACTATCGCTGAGCAGTTAAACTGTCAGGACTCACACCCGTCAACACTGCGAGCAAGCAATGGGATGCAACTAAATACGCCCTTTCTCATAAATGACACTGCATTCTGGGGTTTTTTTGTTTCTTCTTTCTGTCTGTGCTGTTTATTTAAATTGTTTATGCACAATATATGTTTCAAATAGAAGTCTCGCTGTTTATTCAGCGTCACATTGCGTACTGATTGATAACTTATGTAAAATCTGTCTCCCATGAGCACAGAATTGTGACAAATGTTGCTCTAGCCTAGAGTGACGTAAAAGTTGCATGAATTCAGATTTGACTGTTCAGACTGAGGTCACATTGCAAAACATCTGACTTGTATTGGATTAGTACCACATATGGAGGTGGCAAAAATTGGAATTGAAAATATCAGGGATCAGTTGCATAAATATCCATTACATTAAGACTGTGTCTTCAGAATGACCAACCAGCAGTTAAATAGGGGTAATCAATTTCCCTCAATTCCCCCAAATCAATTTTGTTTTTAAATTAGATCAATCTATATGTTTATGTATCTTGAAAAAGTTATTAACAGTCTTAAAGAAAAAAAAAAAAGATGACTAACTTGTAAGACTAGTGTTAGCAGTTTATGGAACCTGTATTCCATGGTTTATGCTGTTCACATCACTGTCATGAGAAAAACAATCTAATATGAGCAAAAGAAAAATGGATTTGGGCCACATTTACCTGTAGTGTAATACTTCCACAGCATGCAGCCAGACCAGTCATGTATGTGAACAGGACCCTTTACTGGCAAATTGGTTCCAGCAATTTACCAGTAAGGGAAGTTGTAACATTGCAGTGTGAACGTGGAATGAGGATTACCGGTATGAGCATGTATGAAGTCAGAACTTGCTGATCGATGTGAGAAGTCTGCTTTGGGGCGATCATTCTTATGAAGATGATGTGATTACTCAGCACTGTTTAAAGTAGCCTAAACTTTGAATAGTTTTTGTAAATATGCGCAAGATGATCTTTGAACGTTGCACCACGTTTCGCAGCTTTTTCAACGTGTCGTGCTCGAAACCTAGCCTTCTTTTCCATTCATCGTTTTTAAGAGCAATAACGTCATCTGTTTGCTCAACTCACCATCACTCAGACGTCAAAAATGTTTGTCAAGTAGAACAGATAGTGAAACTAAAGCGCTGGGGGCGGATGAAGATAACGGCGTGGCATTTAAAGATTTCGATGACTGACATCACAGAATTTACTGCTATTTTGGAGCTGATGTGTAAATGGTCTGTAAATAGGCCTAGTCATTCTAGCAATTTTATGGTAATTTACCGGAACTGAGAAATTGGCTATTGAGATGAGAGGAACTTGTGACACTTATGTAAGGAAAGACAAAAATTGGTGTTTGTATTCTTCAGTACGTTAAGTTACTTTATATGGTAACATAAGAGCTGGTCTTAAATAGACTGCTTTATTGAAATATGTTAGGTTCTCATTTCCCGCGTCGTATCTGTCGCTCCCAGCACACAGTTGTCTGATACCCGCACTGCAGTAACTTACCTCAGCCTCTCTCTCCCTCAGTCTGAACCCAAATTTCAGCTTGCTCCCCTCCCCTCTTCCCTCTCTCCTTCCCCAAACCTCCTACCTCCTCTCATCACTTTCTCTTCCATTCCTCCTCAGCACTGTCTCTCTTTACCCCTCTATCAGAAGCGAGAGCGCGCGCGAGGGGTGTGTGTGCAGCGGTGGGCGGGGTTAAGGACGCGTCAATCAGCGGCGCTACAATAGCACGTGTGGTGGTCATGGTCATAGAGTGGCTCGATTGAGTTGACGCGACTGCAGGATGGATAGAGAGAGAGCGTGAGCGGTTACCTTATCCGCAGCTCCTCCTTCACTACTACCACAACCGCCTCTGCAACCTGATCTCCCTTTAATAATGCACGGGGAGGTAAAGCGAATTTCAGAGACCGGGCTCTGAATGATGTATAGCGCCGGTTACTACAGCACCGTATCGGAGAGCACGAACCTGTAGCTGTGTGATCTGCGGAGAAAAATGTCACACTATCATTTCATCAAATGCTGTAAGTAACGAGCCGCGAGAGAGGCGTCTTTCCGTATGCATCTGCCAATGATGTCATTTCGTCAGTGATGTCATTTGTCAATGATGTCATTTTGTGCGTTTGCTGGAGAGAGTAATTGAGAGGGAGGAGGAATTGTGTGTGATTTAGGGTGTGTATCTGATGCATGCATGTCAAATTCATGGGTGCTAATGCATGCGTTTAACGCACAGCACATGCATGCATGTATCCTGTGCATTGAGGCTGGATGATGAGATGTCATCATGATGATGGGTTGGCTTTGGCGACTTTTTGTGCATGCGTGTATGTGTGAAGTTGCAGGAGGATGCGGCAGCAGTGTAAAAGTTGACTGGTGACTGCTGCAGGTGTGTGTAGGGACCTCCTAGGAGTCTGCCTACTTTCAGACAGACGGCTGGCTGGTGACAGTCTGACAGCCTCTGCAGGATCCCTCTCTCTCTCTCTCTCTCTCTCTCTCTCTCTCTCTCTCTCTCTCTCTCTCTCTCTCTCTCTCTCTCTCTCTCTCTCTCGTGTATCTTTGTATTTGTGGTGGTGGTGGGGTGTGTGTGGTTGTGTGAACATGAGAGTGTCAGGTAGGATAATGGAGCGAGAGAAGGGATGTTGGCTCAAACGGATGTTGCAGTGGTGGCTGGGAGGATGGAGTTGCTGATGTGGGAGAAGGTGGTAATCAGGAAGCGTTTGTGTTGCCAGCTGCAGATGAAAGGCAGTTGTTAAACTCGTCCCTTTGCCACCCATCTCATTTCATCTTTATTCAGATAGTCTAATTCTCCTTCATCTTCATTGCTTGTTTTCCCCTCTGTATGTTTTGCTCATTTGAACACACACCCACACACCACCTCTGTTGCTTTTAGTGGCTTATTTTTGCTTTTGCTTCATTTTGTTTAATTATTAAAATTTTTATTAATGGCACTTTCCATGAATAGAGTACAGAAAAAAATAGATTTTGCACAAACTATGGAAAATGTTGTTTGTCAACCTCACAATGTCAGAGTCAAATTAATATATATATGAAGAGTTCAGATGCAAAAGCCTCTAAGTGCCATTTGAAATTTTCTTCTAAAATGATCATTTTTATATATATATTATGACATTTGTAACCCTGTGAGCATTTCGTGCATGTCTATGTAACCAGTAGATCTATCCAAAATGTAGTGGTGGCTGCTTGCTAGTTTGAATCAAATGTTGGTTTGCTGTTATTGATAAACTTATGTTCCCATAAATTAAAAACAAATGTTTATATATATATATATATATATATATATATATATATAATTGGGTGACACGGTTTAATGGTCGAACTCAATGAATTGGCAACACTAAAATGTGTGTACAAATGGGAATAAAAATATGTAATTGTCATGTTTCCAACAAAACATCCAAATGATCTGCACAAAAGTGCCTTGAAACGCTAAGCACTATTCTTTCCTCTCAAACAGGAAGACAAGGCGGGACATATTGAACAGCTCCTCCCCTTTTTTAACATAGCAAATGGCGTATAATTTATATCACAGCTCGGCCATAGCCATCGAGCTTGTTAAAGCCGCAGTTTCCTGTTAATCTGTAACCGTTTCTCCTCCATATTGCTTTAAAGAATATAGCATTTTCTGCAGAATTCAAATGGATCCGATACATTTTGTGGTATGATCCACTCTGCTATTGTGTCTCTGGACCGGAGCCGACTGTGCTATCTCTAGAGCAGTTCGCGCGACACTAACATAAAACCATTAATTCGCCCCAATGGAAAGTATATTTACATTGTCTGACTCTGAATCGTTCCCTATTCCAAGACCCCTATATAATGCACTATATGCCATTGTAGAAAGATAGTAGAAATGTAGAAAATAGTAAATGTGTGAACAATTGACCAATTTTAGCCACAGCTTCAGATTCTAGAGAGCATTACTGATGCATTGTCACAAGTGAAGTGAGACTGAGAGATTGTAAGTTTTGAATGATTATTTTGTTATTGGTTTGGAGCAACTACCTTATAACAGGAAGAGTAACATTCAAAGTAAGGCCATGGTGGGGGTACAGACATTTGACATATTTGAATTAGCATAGTTCATGTTCGTTTCTATAGCTAGGTATTGGTTGATCAGACAAGTGATGCACTGAAATTTCAGCAACCAAAAAAAAAAAAAAAAAAAAAAAAAAAAAAAATATATATATATATATATATATATATATATATAATATATTTCTACATTAAAAATGTAACCGTTTTCAGGGTTTCAGTAAAAAAAAGAATTCTATCCTCACAATGAAAAAAAAATGTATTTGCACCTCTAATACTTGAAAATATTACAGTGTACTGTATTCATGTACCTTCTGCTATCACTTACACCTCCCTTACTTCCTCTCACCTTTACTATTTCTTGTAGTGTTTGAGCAGAGATGGCCAGTGCCAGAGGCAAACTGTTAAGAACTGTGAGAATGCACAAGGTCGCACACTCCAGTGCAAAGCCAGCAGAACATTGTGTGTGTGTGTGTGTGTGTTTGTGTTTTTATGTGTGCCACTAGTGGAAGAAGAGCCCCCTCAAGGTTTGATATGTAGTAGAGGAGACAAGACGTGCATGCTTACTGAAGTCTTTCACATTCAGGTTTGTCTGATTCCATCTGTCTTATGAGGTGGGTAAAGGAAGGGATTTTTAGAGTCAGTGCATTAGAGAGGAAACCGTTACCAATTTAACGATAAACCACAATAAAATCAAGGGGGTAATCCATCGACCGGAAATTGAAGGCGGCCGGGTGCTGCCATCTTGTAGCAGAACTTCACTTGAGCTGAGTTAGCATTTTCATTGACTCCCATTCATTTTGGCGTCACTTTTACAGCAAACAACTTTACATCTGAGGCGTTTGAAGACTCCATTTGTCCATTACTTACTTGATTGTATTTATGGGGTGCAATACAACATGTATTCGTGGTTTTTCTTTTTTTTAAAAAGTCTTATTTTTCATAAACTTCACTTTTATTGTAAGCCGCGCTCTCCTCTGTCCTGGAACGAGCGGTCGACTTCCTGAGTCTATGAAACCACTCCCTCAGAAACAGGCAGTGGGCTCAGATTGGTTAGTTTGGGCCGGTGTGTTGTGATTAGCTAAACTGTCGCTCACGAAGATTAACGCCCATTACCTTTACGGGCGAAACGTGCATGTCATGAGCTCCGGTCCAGATGTAAATATGTGTCGAACTGCAGTTTTAGTTTGAGGCAGAATCAGACCGAGAAAGCCGCGTTGAAGAGAGTCAAACAGAACCTCACCACACATGGCTCTTACTAAACGTTTCAGAATGATAATTTGCTACATTTTTTTTTAAACTTTATACACGTTTGTTTTACACAATAGCATCTGACTGGCAACAATAGCAACTGACTGGCTACTAATGTTAAACACAAACAGCGTTGGCAAGTTTATCGAAAATAACGTCATAAAGCATATAAACATGAAAAATACATTTACAACATACAAAATTCAGGTCCATAATGTTTGTACGCGTTTGTCGTAGACACAAAATAGCATAACTAGTAGCCTAGTGGCTATGAAGCCAGCGCTGGCATTTTAAAAAAAATAAAACACAAGGCTACGTCTGGAGGCAATATACTTCATAATTTTTAAAAGACGATATCTCTGTTTACACTGAAATTTCAGCGCTGCAACTTTGCAGATAATGTTCATGCACCAACAGCAACATTACACACTATTTGAAATGAAAAAAGTGAAATCGCAATCAAGGTCTTTCTTGATTAGCTGTTGAATGTCATTAGTCATGCTCAAAATTTACAAGCAGGTGTGTGATGGCAAGTTGGAACTAAACTCTGCCCTCCAGGACCTAGTTTGGACACCCCTGGTTTATGTGAATAAAATTATTCAATCTGTAACTCAAAAAAACTGAATATAATCTGGGCCGTGAGTTTTGTGATCTGTTGCACTATTATTTAATAATATTATTATGTTTATGCCAAGAAAATATGCATGCATTGTGCTGCTAATTTTATGTTATTTGCTAGTTTTTAACATGAAATTAATTATTAATGTGAAATTATTCCAGTGCAGTTTAACAATAATATAGAGAACCATAATGATTTTGGTCACTACAATTGTGATATGAAAATTACTAGTATTTTATCTCTACAGTGCATCCTGTGTTCAAGAAACTGAGTGTGTTTATGTTAGAAAGCCACAGAGAGAGTGCACTCTGTCTAATTTATGCTTTCTTATTCCCATGCCTCTTATATTAACATAAGCTCATAAGATATTCCAGTGTAAATCAATACCTGACAGCCTAGAAGCAGAGACAGAAGCTACCAGGAGTAAGCAGGAAACATCACACATCTCCCTCTTTATACCACCATTCCTGTCATTCACTGCCTCTCCATGACCCGTTCAATCGCATGAGTGACATATTTTGCAATCAGTCTGAGGTGTCACCAACTCCCTGCACCCATGATGCACTGCTTGTGTGTGAATATTAGTACTGTACAAAATAGGCTACATCTGACAGCAGTAGTAAATAGGTTTATGCCACAAGTTTTATGAGTAAACCGTATACAATCAACAGATTAAAATGATTTGGGGGAGGCAGGTCACACTTAACGTGTTTTTGCATTCCATCATGCTGCTTTTCCACTGATTTTTCCACGTAGACGTGCACGTGTCGTGCAACCGCACTTGCACTTGCATCTTTTTTTAGCAAGTTAAACTTCTCAAGTTAAACTTTTCAAATCTTCTGACCTTGCACCTTGCATTCACAAAAAAAACATTCCATGTGAAAGGCCTGAATTTGACAAGGGCTAAATAGTAATGGCAGAGCATCTCCGGAATGGCAAGTTTTGTGGGGTGTTCCTGCTTTGCAGTGGTTAGTACCTACCAAAAGTGGTACTAGGAAGGACAGTGTTGAACAGCTGTTAGGGTCATGGGGCAAGTGAAGGCTATCCCCATCTGGTCAGATCACACAGAAGAGCTACTGTAAATTGGTAAAAAAAAAATGC